CCATGAAAATATTATGAAGGTTAAATATTTTATGTTTCAGTAAGAGAGGCGTCGAAAACACGCTTTACGTTTCTTCACAGACGCCACCTAACAAAGGCATAAATATCTCCGAACCGCTGTTTCATAAAATATATCACACTTATGCATACTGTTTACAGTCCTACAAAAACGATTTTCCATCAGATTTTATGTTCTGCTAGTTCTACGTTTTTGTTTGTTGGTCCGTAAAGTTTCGTAACGGTTTGGTAAGACCAACATCTACATCTGTTATGCATACTGTTTACAGTCCTACAAAAACGATTTTCCATAAGATTTTATGTTCTGCTAGTTCTACGTTTTTGTTTGTTGGTCCACGGAGAACCGTAAAGTTTCGTAACGGTTTGGTAAGACCAAAATCTACATCTGTGTCCACCATGTAGTAATTAATACTTCCTATCAGAGCAAGTTACCCACTTGGAGCGAACTCAGATTTGACCATATCATTGTTATTGGAACGTATATGAAAACGGCAAGAGCTGTCTAGCCTGAAAATATAACATTTTGTACTCATATAAGCCAATGAAGTGTTTTTTAAAAAAATCCATAGGTGGAGCTTTGCGATAAAATCGATGGAAACTGGATTAGGTTTCTTGTGTGCACATACGTGTTGTTGTTGTTCTTTGTAAGTTTTTATTATTTAAGTCGTGTATTTAAAGGCATAATTTGAAGTGGTTTGTAGAAAATTTGTTTGTTTGTTTCTTTAAGAGAAAAGCCACATTGGGCTACCTACTGTGTCCATCACGTGGAATCGAACCCCTGACTTGTTATCGTTGCAAGTGCGTAGAGTTACTGCTACCTCACCGAGGGGACGTTTTTAAATTTATTAGAAAAGGTAGTGAGTGCCATTTGGCTATACTTGTACGCATAGTACCATGCGTTTTGTATCTTCTAATTTTTTATTCATTCTGAGTCTGCGCAGCTTTCCCATATCACGTGGTCTAGAAAAACTGTTAAGTCGATTTCTTTCAACACGTCCTTGTTCCTTTGTTGTTCTCTAGAGAAAGTACCTGTTCTACCCGTGAAGATATTCAGAATTACTTCCTGCAGAGCCTCCCGTTATAAAGCGGGCGTTAGTGATTTTATACTTAGCGGGGTTACGATTGAAATGGATTTTGCTTGAGTGTGTGCAACAATTATCAGTTTTAACACTTCGCGATATTCTTCTGTATAAACGATTCTAAACTTTTAAAATCGAAATCACAATATTTCTGTGAGTCTGTGCGAATCTTTAGGGCTCAACGAAACTCCGAATCAAAGACGAGTATACACAAATATGTTATTGTATATATTTATAAAGACAGGATGGTTCGTACGAAATAACGTTGTAGCTTAGTGGCTAGAGTTCTCAGGGCTGTTAATTCGAAGATTGGTGGTTTGCATCCCGTAGTTGCAACAACGCGCTTCGCACTTTAAGGCCGTGGGCGCGTTATAAAAATGACAGTAAAATCTCAGTATCTGGTCAGACCAGAGCACCCCAACAGGTGACAATGTATTAAACTAAAATAGGGACGATTATGCGCAGGTAGTCTTTGTACAGCTTTTCCCAAAAATTATAGAAACAAACGCTACCAAACCTCGTGAGATTTGATGCGCAAATGTTTTGCCGTTGCTTATATTGTTTGCAGACAAGATTTCAAAGACGCTTTGTTAATTTAATTTCTCCCCCTGTCTTTTGCGTCTCCTTCCTGACTATGTAGTGAAGGACAGATTTATTGTGAGTATAATACAGTACACTGAAGGTAAAGATAGGATCTTGATTTTATCGTCCCTTCCTCAGTCAGACTCCTGGGAATAAACATTCGTAGATGTCTCAATAAATATACCTCTCCTACTAACTGCCTGCCAGTTCCAGATTCCAAGCTGGAAACATTACATACTTTAACCAAACAAACCTCTGCCTGATTAACTCGTTCCAATTGAATATCAAAGAACGTTGAAAACATCCCTTCTTTTTCTGCTCGAATTAAACTACAAGTTAACGCCTCGGTGGTTGAATTTATTGTGTTTGCTGTGGTACTAGCGTAGTTTGAAATTTTTTATTGTATGTACTGAAGGTCAAAAGTAGAGTTGCATGTTGAACGTTTCGTCTTTTGTTAGCCAGTAATTACTTGACAAATCTTTCATAGAGCGCAACGAGGCAGAGATTGCTTACCATTATTAGAACGTTTTATTGTTTTTTGTTTTACATATTTCAAGCTAACGAACAACAAACATTATTAGCGTAAAACTTGGTCAGTTACTTTAGAAAATTATTTTCATACCGACGCTTCGCTTTACAGCTTTATTAAATTTTACTTGTTTGTTTGTAGTAGAGTAAAGCCACGTTGGGCTATCTGCCGTGTCCTTCGAGGGGAATCGAACCCAGGATTTTAACGATTTAAGCCTCTAGACACACCGCTGTCCTTCGTTGTACGAACAATATAATATTGCAATAGCAAACGCCGATAGTTAAATAGTCTTCGGGAGTAACTGGTCGTTGTTTAAACAACAAAATAACTGATGAAATCAACAAAACACAACTAAGCACATCATTAAGAATTTCATTATATATATATATATATATATGTATAAAAAATAAGTAGAGTAAAAGTAGTCGAGGTTTAAAGGAAAGAACATTAACAAACAAATGTACTTAATTTGTCTTTCTTCACACTACTGTAGACTACTGAACTCCGTTAATTAATAATAATAAGGTCCTATATATATAATAAGGTCATATAAAAAGAGTTATGGAATATAATGTATAAGGATATAGAAAATAGAAGTAGGTTTTATTATTTAAATATTTCAACACCAGATGTCCAGGCCCTATGAGAAGTTCAGATGTTGACCTTTATTAGACTATTCCTCTAAAATCCAAGTGTGCTGTTTCCTATATCGGGTTGTGCTTGTGCTTTCCATCTGTGCTGATTACTTTTATAAGGTTATACCTCTGTGTACTCCACGCTGCTCCAGACTCCTTTATCTGTACTCCATCTGTGCTCATTTCTTTTATAAGGCTATACCTCTGTGTACTCCACGCTGCTCCAGACTCCTTTATCTGTACTCCATCTGTGCTCATTTCTTTTATAAGGCTATACCTCTGTGTACTCCACGCTGCTCCAGACTCCTTTATCTGTACTCCATCTGTACTGATTTATCAGGTTGTAGATCTGTACTCCAAGCAGTCCATAGAGGACTCAGCGCCATCTAATTTGTATAAAATAGCTTAAAAACAACATTTTGTTTAAAATGTGCTGTTTCACAAGGTCCTGTTTCAACTTACTTGTTGCTTAATAATCTTATTGAATAATTTATGGTTACTTCTGTTCTAGCGATGAAGATAAAAAAACAGCATCCTGAAGTTTCATTAATTATGAATTAAGAACAAAACAAAACATTAGACAGTTTTTTTTTCTGTCATCTCACAAGAACATTAGAAATAAAATAAAATAATATCCTGGCGTTGAAATATATTTATGGCAACAAACTTCTAGCTTCTACAACTACTTAGCTGTACTTAAACTATAGTTTGTAATGGAAAGTAGACTGTTTTATTTTAAACCAATATAGTGGTAACTGATTGCAGTGTTGAAGACAAAATAAAAAGATATTGTATCGTTTGTTTTTATTACATAATGTTTCGTCTTACAGCTAATTCAGTGGTTTTCAAAAGCTCACTATAAATAATGCAAGAGCTAGAGCTCGTTACTGTTTCCTGCATTTCATTGGTTCTTTCATGGTGGATCAGCGATAAGCTTGGGGTTTATAATACGTTCGATCCCTGCGGTGTGCACTGTAGTGATAGACATTGTACAGATCTGGGCGTGACAGCAAACGAACAGTAATTAGTAATATTTGGGACCACTTTCTACAGAAACTTAACAAAAACCAGATTCGTCAACTTTTTCAAGGATCAATCTAAATTTTTCACAGTTGAAGTGCAGTCTGTGTGGACCGCGCTAGTGTTCTACATTCTCTGTTTATTTCATATAATAACGAAGAATGTAACATAGAACCTGAAAAGTCGTCTCGAAACCAATAGAAACGGTAGAAGTCCATAGGAAACTCACTCCACATGTTGAACACGCTGCTTAAATCCACTAAAAAATAGTAATAATTTTCTAGCATCAATTCTGTCTTTAGCTTTAACATTTTGAACCTTTACTTGTCATATCAGCTATATTTAACAATCAAAAATTCAAGAAATTCTATTAATGTTGTTTGATTTTCAAAGAAACAGTGAAATTACGTAAAACGTATACCCGTTTCTGAGAAAAGATGTATTATTACACTTCAAGATTACAAGGGGATCGAGTCCTCTCTCATCATAAAACTAAGACCTCATTTTTTAGTCCACCATTAATTAAACAACAACAAATTTCTAATAGTTATCACATTAATAACTATAATCGATTTTTTTTTCTAAAACGTATATTAAAGTCATTTGTAATCCGATAGTTTCTTCAGTAATTGTTTTTTTTTGTTTGAGATATAAGGAAGCAGTTGTCATAGTTTCCAGTTTGTTTTTTTTGTTTGAGATATAAGGAAGCAGTTGTCATAGTTTCCAGTTTGTTTGTTTTTGTTTTGAGATATAAGGAAGCAGTTGTCATAGTTTCTAGTTTGTTTTTTGTTTGAGATATAAGGAAGCGGTTGTCATAGTTTCTTCAGTAATTGTTTTTTTTTGTTTGAGATATAAGGAAGCAGTTGTCATAGTTTCTAGTCATACTATCTATTAAAAGGAAGCAGTTGTCATAGTTTCTAGTCATACTATCTATTGAAACTATGACAACTGCTTCCTTTTTAGTCATACTATCTATTAAATTCATTTCAGGATATTAAAAATATTGCGTGTGTGTATATTACAAAAAAACAAATATGAAAGAATTACATTTACAATAACGAGAAACTTCTGGATATTGTCTTATTGAAATGGATCACGTATTCGCTTTATTTTATTT